TAAATGCAAATATCTAGCATAAGTATGGTATTCCAAAATATACATATGTGTATAATATATTTATGTGTCTTGGTTTCACATTTGCATTTTAGTAAAAATCGAGTTCAAGTTATTTTGATAGAGTTTCATAGTAAAGCAGCTCCACAACACGCAAAATCTACACGAGACAATATATTGCAGTCAAAAAGAAAAAAAGTAGTTGCAAATCATATTTAAATGAAAAGATTTTCCCATCACTATTGAATACCGCTAACTTCGGCAAAGTTATAATGTGAAAATTTGGGATGCAAACGAAAACGAAAATCCTTCCTATCTTGGGCTATTTGATTTATGAATTAATTTTTAAGCTCTGCGCTGGCAACGTCCAAGTTTTCTACAAACGAGATATTGAGTAAAGCAAATGAAAGTTGAAGCAGAAGTTTGGTTACTGTATGCATCTAGCGAATACGTGTGTTGCAGCAGTGCTGAGTTTAAAGATAAAGTGTGCGTTGAAGCAAAAATTTCATTTTGTTTTGAGAGACTATGAATAATGATGACTATATATACCTACTTTTTTAGATATAACCGCAAGCTTTAAAATTAAAATAAACAAGAAAAACGTAAATTTCGGCTGGGCAAAGCTATAATAACCTTCACAGGTACATATTTTATATATGCTATAATAGTCTGATATGAACAATATGTTTGAAGATTGTAGCGATACATACAGACATACGGACATGGCTAAATCGACTCAGCTTGTCACGTTGATCATTTATATACATATGTATACTTATAAAGTCTTGAACGTTTTAATTTGGGTGTCACAAAATCGTGGCAAATGTGTATTATTCCCATTCCGGGTATAAAGGCTAAATTCCGTTATCACTACATATCTTTCATAATTTTATTATACAATTTCTGTTTTAATATCGAGCAATTTTCGATTTATTCCACTTAAATATTCTATTGTACATTTTCTTAATTTGCATCATAAATCAAAATTGTGACTTTCTTCTACAAATATGACAAGCTGACATATGTACACATATGTAGATATATTATATACATTTATTTGCGTAAGTTTTATAAATAGGTTACCTTTTGGGAATAAGTTTAGTGAATTCTTTATGAGTAAGCAGTTGACCTTTCGATGCTTAGCTTTGACTCTTATTAGTAACACTGCATGAGTGCTATAAAAGTATATAGTATATGCACAACTATCGCCTGTTTGCACGTATGAATTTTATGTCTAAACGTTTCAAAGTAATGGCGCCCATAAATCAGTTGGCACATACCATACACAAACTCGGCTAAAAGTTGAACAAGATTACATAGATACTTGCTCAAACAAAGTAAAATACAGACGCCAAAAGCTACAGACATGTGTGTAGTTAAAAAGGCATAAATAAGGGAAATTGTAGAAAAGCAAGCATGTCCTGTAGGAATTATAATGACACAATTCAATGGGTCAATATTTCTTTCCATCAACTGTTTAATTTAATTTTTAATTCGTTCTATAGCGGTCATGCTATATTCGAATGATTTTCTATTCCCTAAACGTCGTCGAGATGTGTTTCCTTTTTAGGGACTATTTTGAAAGCAAATCGTTGTTATTTCAGCGTAATGCTTCAGAGTTAAGCGATTCATGGTTAAAATTTGACGAACGAAGGTTTTCGAAACATATATCAACAAAACAGTGCTCAGTGACTATCAAAGCGATTCAATGTTGAGATTGCAAGACTGAAAAGAGTTGGAAATATTGCAAACCATTTTAACTATGGATACTTTTGAATCTATGAAGCACACTATTTCGAATTGTTGGTCATATTAGATTAGTAAAATTTCTACGATATATATATTGCTTGTATTTTAATCGATGTGTTGTAACCACATTAGGTGCATGACTTTGCTAAATATTCAACTTTATCGTACAATGTGCTTAATTATAGGCAACACTTTGTCATTCCGGATTTTGTTGCTTAGCATTTAGGAGAATTTTACAAAAATCAAAAGAGTGGTAGTTTCCTGCTACAACGTAACTTTGCTGCAATAAAAATCTATCTAAAACAAATTTTGTATGTGTCATCCATACGAATACATTTTCCCAGAAGCCCTTAGAAAGCATATAAATACGTACTTTTCAGCGCATACAATCACGCCGTTAAACGCAGGTGCTCCATTTTTGAAATGTAAGCGAGAATTAAGGGATCGGCGAGGGTCACACATGTTCGCACACACATTGTTTTTTCTGCATATGCGTGCTTACAAGCATACCTTACCTATATGTACATTAGGGTGGAGGGAAAATTTTTTTTTTGTATTTGCTTAGCCTGAGGGTAAAATTGTAGATTATAAAAAAAGAAAATTTCACTCAGTTTTAAGTAAATTTCGAGTTTTGGTTTAAACTCTTCATATTTTATAAAAGTACCGAATTTGACGGCTTTTGACTCAAAATTTATTTTAACGCTTAAGCAAAGCATGTTGTAGTTTAAGACTATAATAATGACCAAAATTTTTTTTAAGCTGATAACTTTAATTGGGCAGAAAAAGACTATCCACAGCTTCTAGAACAAATAAAATTTGTTTACGAATAAAATAACTTAAATAGAAGAAAATTCTACAGAAATTGCCGGAATTACTGAAATTACCATATCAAAATAAAATGCGTCAGTGGGCGTGTGAAATGACTTTTCTAGTCAGTGAGGGTAGCCAAATAAAGTCAGCGATATCAAGAAAATGTATTTCTATTTCACCCGAATGTGTGTGTGTTACTTTAAATAGCTTTTGTCAGCGCGTGAACTATAACACCTGGCAGCTGTGTGTTATGTGCTGAAAGAGGCTATTTTTGCTTGAAAAGTGTAAAGCTAAGCGCTGCGTATACGCAACATTTGAATCCAATATATTATTCCAGCATTTCTTGTTAAATTTAGGGAAGGAACTACTCAGCGCGAATGTAATTTAGCAAATCGACAATATTTGTTAAATGTAAATAAAGACAAATAATCGTTGAGCAATAAAAAGAGAGTATTGAAAATAAATTTGTGCAAATAAAATGTAAAAATAGAAGTAGTGCTTCAAGTGGCAGAGGCAAAAGTAAATAAAAACAAACAAGAATCTTCACTACATGACTCTCCAACTAGTATACGCCATAGCTTACTCTACTATTGGCTGGTTGGCGTCAACCAGCTGCGCGTGACACATTAAAATATATATGTAAGCGTCACATTGTCTAGACGCTTGGCGCCAATGCGGGTGGCTGTCGATGCTGCATATGCGCGTGTTCCTCTACATTTATTGCTTTGCTGCCATTTCAAGTTTTTGATGCCACAGTCGTTACGATAAAAGCAAATAAAAAGATAGCTGGATATATACACAGGCATGCATATACATAAATATATATTATACGTGGTTATCTTTGAATTCAAATATGTGGAAGAGTTGAAGAGCTCACTGAAGTTGTCGGTTCTGTGTGTCGGAGTGCACATGCATATAAATATATTTGTATAATTTTGAACGAGCAGCAATAATGTCTGTCTCATTTCTTTATTTCCTTTTCATGTTTGTGCTGCTACTTATTTGCTTGTAGCTAAGACTAGATAATTTTTAATTCCATTCTGCATTTTGTGCAATCATTTATTCAGATATATTTTTATATATGGTACCCTACATTACGTTAGTCTTATCTTTGCACTAGGAAATACTTTAACTCAAAATAAATAAAAAATATTTACTGATTTATAAATTTTTAAAGAAGTTATATTTTATTTAATGATTGGCTCGGATTTTATAATGTATTCAAACCTGATTTATATTTTTTAGTTTAATACACTTTATTGACTTTACAAAAATGTTCGTAAGTACCTTCGATATATGACTTATAAAATCGCCAAAGGGTAGGCAGCTATTCATTCCAAAATGTACTACTAATATTTTGACAAATTAGGGTAACGACCAGAATTTATTCGTTTGTAGTAAGTGTTATTTGGTTAAATATTTTGGTGTGTGATAGTATAACCTCATATTTATATTTGTAATTTCAATATTATAAATAATTACAATAATAATTTATTTTAATTCATTGCTTTAGGTTTCGTTGGTATTCTACTTCAATATTAAATTTTCACTACTTTTCCTTAGTTTTAAAAGAGTCTACGCAATATTTCTTAATTTTTTCTTTAAATGCTGCAATTAATATTACGACTTTTCGGCTGTTTAATGCAAAAGTTTGACTGTCTCTTTGCCAATTTATTAATTTCGAGATTCAACAACAATGCATACTATTGATTGAGTGCATCCCCTACCAACTAACGAACGAAAAATTCTTTAGTTTTCTATTACTCACATATTTACGTGATTTCTTATGCCTTCACATTTTTAAAATTTAATTTTTCTTTTTCGAGTTTTCTTGTTTACTCAAATATTTTTTCTTATTTTTCTCTAACTGATCGTGCTCCTTAGCGCATAAAATTGCACACAATGCCATAAAGTTGGCTATTCAGTCGGCAAATGATTGTCAGTTAAGCGAGTTTCGCACAAATCCCTTGTGACATGTTCTTATCCGTTCCATCTCGTCCCCTAAGTCCTGCTTTAACTCGCACACTAATACAGTTGAATAGTTGATTTATTGATTTTACATTAAAAGTAACTTGAACTTTCTCTTGAAATATGCAGAAGTATTATTTGGGGATTGTGGAGCAGAAATAGCACAGAATAGCGTCTCATGCAAATGTGAGTGATTTTGAAGAAAATTTAAGGAAAGTATATGTGGTAGTATTTTGAAAAAAAAAAAGTAGATAAAATTTCTGCCGAAAATAATATGTGATGTGTTTTTGAAGCTATTTGACAGTGAAAATTCTTTTTCTAGAAAAGTTTCAAAAGGCGAATGTTGTTAAATAAATAGTCTAAAGTAATTTTGAATGACTTTACTATATTATAGCATAATTTTACAATTAATAAATATACTTTGATAGTAACTTCCAATACTTACTGTACTCTTTCTCGTTTTTGTTTTCTTGCAGAACTCATCACCGACAGCACTTCTCATCGTGTGAACGCAACGAGCATCTTCCGTAAGAATATTGTTTAGAAATATCCACCAATTTAACAGCAGCAACAACAACTACAATATTAGTTGCAGCAACAAAGTAGTAGTACATCATTGGAAGTAGATAAAGAGTAGCAATTTTTAGGTAAATAAATTAAGACAGCAACAATAACAGGCGCCTACTAGGAACTACCACAGGTATCTACAAAAGAAGCAAAAGTTGAGAGGAACCAAAACAGGCAGTGAATTAGAGGGAAAAAAAGCAAAATGGCAGCATTCATAGCGAAACAAATGGTTGGCAACCAGCTAAGCGCCGTTAAAGGTAAGCTGAAATTAAAATTGTATTTAGTTTTGAGAATAATTGAGTGTGTGAGAGTTTAGATGAGTAAGTGGTGTAAAACTTGTGAAATTATGGAGTCAAATTTTATTAGAGTACCAGATGCTCCAATTGTTTGTAAAGAAGAGAAAAAAAGTAGTTTTAAATTTGAGTTAAGTCTTTAAGTAATTTTGATTTTTAGGTAATTTTTGCTTGTATAATCTTATGGAGACTAATAAGCGCAAAATAACCTTACTTCCCTTATTTACCATACTTGTATATATATTGTTAGCCAGCCTTACAGGCTTACTTCAAAACAAAGGACAATGAATTGATATTTTAAAAGTCTTTACATTTCATCTTTTGGTTCAAAAGGAAGGTATTCTATTCATAATATCAAAGATAAGCGTGGAAGCAGAGAAAAGGCTTTATTTATCACTCGAGGGAAGGTGACCGCAACGCCTTCTGTCTGGTCAACATTTCAACCAAATTAATTATTTTCACCAGCTAGTATAGAATTTTGACCCAAGTCATAAGGTTGAATTTTACAAATTATTCGAACTCAATTGCACACAGCAGATAAATTTTGGAAAATCATACTACTATTCAGAACTAATTTAATGTTAGAAAATTAGTAAGATTCAGATTTTATAGTGACTCCAACACCATCTCGTTGGGTTATGTGTTTGCTTCTAAGAATGATATAAGACTACAGAATTAAGCCACGAAAAGAATATATAATTTTTCCTTAGACATGTCCATTGTTTGCTATTAAGCCAATACCTTAACTCATCTAACTATGAGACTGCATTTAATGAAATATAACAGATGTAGCCTTTCCGTACTTAAATAATTAAATTTCCTACATATGGACAGACATAATTAAAACACCTCACCCCTAGAGCTGGTTATTTACACAAGGCATATGAAGCGTTTAAGGTTAAAGGCATACTTAGAAACCGCTTGGAGTAATCACTCATTATAGAACACTGTCTACCATGCTTTGACGCAATTGCCGCCTACACGACAAACCTACGGTATTCAGACAACAACAAAAACAAATAGCTTCAAAAAAACCAGACAAAATCGGTCAAACAACAAAACGTTCGCTGTCAACTCGGAGCAAAGCAATAGAAGCCCCTTCGCTGCAGATCCTGTCGAGTGTATCATGCAATTCGAGTGGACCCTTAAAATTCAAAAGCAAATGACAAGCGCAGAGTTTAGAGCTTAGCACCCACCGACCGAACAATCGAAAGACCGACCGACCCACTGACGGCTTGTCTGCTGACATTGTCGATGTAGAGGCGGAACGTTGGATTTGATAATAAGCGTAACGCCTGAAAATTAGAAAAACGAGTGGTGGTCTAAGATACCAAGTGAGGTTGTATGTATATGGTTGTGTGTATGTGGATAGCTGTTTTGGGCAACATAATTACGGAACTTTGAAACAGCCACAATGACAATGATGACAGTAACCTACAACAACGACCTCAATTGAATTAAGTGCTCGACTGACCTTGGGTGCTGTGCTTGAGTGGATGCATATTACTTTATGCACGTTGTGCAAAAGCTGGTTCAACAGCTGACTCGTTTGTACGGCACACATGGCACTTAACTGTAAGTGTTACTTGAAATCGCTGTATAAAACAGTGTGTGCCGCTGTATTTGAGGTACTCAGTTCATTTTACCGCACTGTTATTGGTAGCAGCAATGGAGGCGCGAAAATAACAACAACGAAATTTTTGTATGCTCAGATAAAAGAGATAAAACACAGAGGCACTTGAAGTGCACGAACACGTACATTAGGATGTGCACAAAAGCGAAATCCTGTTTCTTATTGATCATTCGATTTCTTTTTATACTAAGTCAGAGTTTTGTTTGAAAAACTAAGATTGCCGTAAGGCTCATAAATCTTTTGGAATAACATAAAGATTTGTCATTTTCAAATTATTGTAAAAAATATTGGTGGCTTCTTTTTCATTCAGCTTAAAAGTAGGCTACAATTATTTTTAAAACTTCGCTAATTTTAAAAGAAAACAATTTTTATCTGCAATAATTTTTACCATAATGATCATATTTTATTAAATTTAGATAATTTTTTTATTCCGCACGTCCTTGCTCACCTTTGTAGCTTTAAATTTCGAAAAAGTACATTATTTCCACATCTTTGTTCACAAAATTTTGTTAATCTCTTTTTTCACGTTATAAGTAGGCAATATTTTTTTCAAAAGCAATCACCTCACCCTTAAAGTGAGTGATGTTTTGGTGAAAAAAAAACTCGTTTACCCTAGTGTTTATATAAATTTCAAATGTATAACCCATCTACTCAATAGAAATAAATTTTTATCATTCCTTATCCGAAAAGTTAGTAGAATAATTCATTTTAAAATATTCGGTCACCCTAATGTTTACCGATTTTCCTGTTTGTTTTCTCCCTGATTTTCCTAACCAACATTTGTGTTCGTAGAAACATGAGAAAAACTATAATTAACATCAGTCCATCGCCATAGCAAAGATACCGGCACATGCCTTGCTATGAGGAAGTAATGAAACACCTTGCTCGTGCTTCGTTATGCACAGTTATGTGCGATGCTAGTGCCGCAGGCCAATCAACACAAGTGTCTTCTACGGCGCCGTATTCTCATATTGAATTATTAATGCGACCGCAAGCTCGCAGAAAGTGGCTACATAAGTGTGTGTGTATATATGTATAGGCATTTCTAATATACCAAACAACCAAACATATATGAAGGCATGCGTGGGTGTGTTGCCGGCGCTGTTTTTCATATATTTGCTTAAGAAAAGTGTCCTATAAAACATTAATGTAAATTCGAGTCAATTAAAGTGATTTGCTTCGCTTGAAATTAATTTTAATTGAGAAGAGAATACTATAGTATGGCGACAAAGTAGCAAGTTGGGGGTTTCTATTTAGGGAAAATAGTTAAGTTTTACCTAAAATAGCTTTGGGGTACATTTAAATCAAATAGTATAAACACTGAAGTTAATATTGAGAGATTCTATATAGAGATGATACAAGTTAGGTTGGTATGTAATTAAAATATTATTATATATGAAATAAAAAAAAAAATATATTTATTTAAAGCTTGTTATGAGATTTTTAATTTTATTCATTTTGCCAAATGACCAATGTAAAACCACATAATTCGATTTAAAATTGTTTAGAAAAAAAAAAAATTTACCTATTATTTGATATATACGTATAATATTTAACTAATATTATTATGTTTAAAAATTAAATCCTTTTTTTGGTCAAAAATGTTTCATTTATTTTTATCTCCCAGCAATGTGACCCACATATAAACCAGTTAATAATTCAAACATACCATACATAAATAAAGCTTTAACTTAATTGCCACGAAATCTGCAAAAACGGCAGACTGTGTGAACAATTTGGTTGCAGGACAGCTGACAGTTCATTTAAGAAATGAAACTATCGATTTTGGAGCGTTGCCAAATTGGCAGCCAGCCAACTGCCAATAGAGTACACACACACACACCCCATAGCGAGATAGCACTAACACACGCGTTTGTAAATGGTTTTATATACAAAGACTGACATAACTGTATTTGTGTATACACACAAGAGCTTATTTGTGTATGAATATAGCAAATGAGTGACCATATACTAAGGCATTAAAAAAATAACAAAAGCGAAATCAACAAAAATTGCCAAAAATATGCGACAGATAATGAAATTGCAGAGAGACAACAACTGGAAAATATGCAGTTCGAGAAATTTCAATTGTGTGTTTGAGAGAGTATGCATAATTCTTTGCATTGGTCCATACATAGCCTGCCATTTTTCTTTTGTGTATACATATATACTCAAACAACAAAATTTTTTTGGATATGCATACAGGTTGGTTGCAAAGTTTCTGCTCTCATCTAGCTCCAAATTTTTTTCTCAAACTGGTGCATTTGTCGTGAGAACATATGCAAAGTTACCAGGCATTCTGTCAATTAATTTCTTATTTACAAGCTGAAGATAACATGTTAAAATATTTTTTAATTATGGGAAAAATTTAATATCGCGCAGTGATTAGATTCTTTATTTTGAAGGGCTTAGAAGGAAAGGAAATTTAAGAACTTTTATTAGAAGTGTTTAAGGAGTCCTCACCTTCAAAACACACCGTTGAATTTTAGGCTGGTGAATCTAAACGTGGTCGTATCAAAAACAGTATTTTTTCACATCGTGCGCGGAAACTTTTCAATCAATCTGTATATGCTCTCATAATAAAAGCTGTGGTTTTTTTGTATGCTGTTTATTCGCTATTTTATGCAATTTTTCCAACAGAAGCCATAAATCTTTATAATAAAATGCAATAAATTTGGGAATAAATAGACAAGAAAAAAATTAACATGATTTTATTTTATTTTTTTTGACTCAATGTATATAAATATTTTCGTTCATATACCAAAATTTTAAATTAAAAAGTGACGTGCATGTTAATAAATCTACACATAGTTATCTTTAATTCGAGCAGTACGTACTTCGCTTGTACTAATTCCATTATCAAATGTTATATTTATATATATATATATATATATATATATATATATTATAAAAAGAGACAATCGGCTGAAAATTTATTTATAATTTAATTGAAACACTTTTAAAATTTTTTTTCGTAAATTTAATTCTTCTCTGTTCCCTACTCAAATGTATTTTTTAACTAAATTTCCTGCCGGGTTTTGCTCTCGGCTGGCGAAATATTTTTGTGTAGACATTTTTGTTGCGTAAGCGAACAAGTAGCATTTTCGCAAAAATAAAGTGCAAGCAACTGTTTTATTGTTAACAAACGCACATAACCAAGCCCCACCAGAAACAGTGTACAGTGGGTTAAATGCAATGATATTTGTGTTTTCAAAATTTATTATAAATCACTTCCAACATAGAATATGTAAAAATTATTCGCAAAAATAAAAAGCAGAAACGTTAACTTCGTTTTCATCGATTCTATAATACTCTTCACAAATTGAAAAGA